CTCTCGCGCCGGGGCCCCTCCGCACCGCCGCGCCCGTTCCCACTCGCGCCCTCGCCGCGCTCCTACCCCCGCCGGCGCCGGGCCCCTCCCAGCCTCCCCTCTCCGCCTTCTCCATCCCCACCCCCAGCGCGTCCCCCTTCCTGCCTTTGCTGGCTTTTCTTTTCTCTCGCCGGCTGGAGTTCTAGCTCAGCCGCGGGCTTTAGCAACTCCCGCCACCCCATAAATAAAGGGAGGGGGTGTTCATAACAGCGGCCCCTCCCCTCAACATTCAGTACTGCGCAGCAACTGCGCCAGAGACCCCGCTGCGATTCCTCGCCCCGAGCCGGGCGTCCTCCCCCACCCCGCCAAGGGTAGCAGCTGTTCTGGAACAGCTCCGAGCCCCGCTCCTCAGTGTCCGTCCTTCCGCATCTCGGGGGCGCGGGGACACCCACGAGGGCACGGCGGCGGGAGAGGCCAGGCTGGGTGCGGAGATTCGCCCTGGTTTCCCCCCCAAGTCCACGATTCCAGAAGAATCGGACGCAGCCCTGTCTCAGCCTCCCCTTTCACTCCCTTCGCCTCCCCAACAAGTCCTAACACCTCTGGAGACCAAGGTTTTAAATTTTCTTATTATTTTTAAAAGCCAAATGTCAACTTGTTAAAAGGAGCAGGGGCGACTTGGAATCGCCGCGGGGACCGGCGGGCGGAACGCGCCGCAGTGTCTGTTCCCGGCTGTCAGAAATGCGGTGAGCCGAAATTTAAATGCCCTCTCGCTCCCGCACACAGTCTGTGATCCATACCCCAAGGAGCTCAGGATGCAAAGGGCTTTCTGCCCACCGCAAAGCAGAGAACCCCCCCCCCAAAAAAACCCAATAACAACAAAAACCACAAAAATACCAAAGCAATGAATGCAATGAAGCAGGCATGTCCGACCGGCTGGGGTCAGCGTCAACACACACGGGCAAAAATCTCTAAAGGCTAGTTTCAAATACGCAGCCCCTTTCCCCTTCTGCCTTCCCCATCTCATCATGACAAGTCCCTCTACCCCAATCCAATTCTACATCACCCCTCACCCCACCGCGACCTACAACAACTACTCTGAGAAAAGTGTCAATAGCGCTGGAATGAGAGAAGAGACACCCCGATTTGGGCATTCGACTTATCTCAGCATTGAAGCTGTAGAGAAAATAAAATAGAAGACAGACAGATCCGGGTGCTTACCGGGTTTTCTACTCCCCGAAAGAAATACAGCTTCCAGACAGCTGCGAGGAGCGCTCTTCAGAGGAGCGGGGCCTGGGCAGCGGCGGGGAAAAGTGTCCCCAAATCGGCGGAGTGTTCTCCCCGCGTCCGGAGAGTCGGTGTTGTAAGTTCCAGTGCAAAGTGCCTGCCCGCTGCAATGGGCAAAGTTTCGTGGATGCGGCGAGGGGTGCGGACCACCGCCGGTGGGAGTCAGCGGGAGGGCCGGGCTGGGGGCGGCGGGCCCGGAGTAGCCCCCGCTTTCGCTCCGGAGCTCCCTGTCCTGGAAGCCCGGAGCGCGGCGGCTCTGCTCGCTCGCTCGCCGGGCTCGGCTGTTGCGCCCTCAAGCCCGCCCGCTCGCTCCCTCTGCCTCTCGCTGGAATTACTACAGCGAGTCAGATAAAGCCCCTACGCCGGGGGCTTTTTATAGCGCATGCAGGATCCCTCCCCTACGTCCTTTTTCCCGCCAAGCCTCTGAAAAGCCCTGCCCTTCTGGAGGAAGGAGGGGAGCTCGGAGGCGGCTGGCGCGACGGTGGCCGCGAGCAGCACAGCGAGGGGTCCTCAGCCTAGCAGACCCTCGCGTTATAAAGGGCTGGTGGGCGAGAACTGGCGACAGGGGATCTTTTTTCTTTCTACCCCGCCCTTTGCTTTGGGAACCCGGGAGGGGCGCTGGGGAGGAGGGTGGGGAGGCGGGAGATGGGGAGGGGGAGGGGGAGGGGGAGGAGACTGAGCCCTGCAGCCCTGCACTCCAGCGATCGGATATAAACAGAATAAGAGCCGCATGAATTAACTGCGCGCGCCTCCCATCTTCTGCTCCCGCTCAAACCCTGTCCCTTTCCTCTGGCGCAGCGCTCTGACAAACCGCATTCTCGTCCTGCTTTTTTCAGTCATCGCAGGCGAACAACTGCTCAACGCTGCAAAAGCACCGCGTACCCACGTCCACGCCATGCACGTCCGGGACAGCCGGGCGCCTCCCTAAGGCTGGAGAAAGGGCAGCATTGTGCAAATAAGTCCCACGAAGAGAGGCGGAAAAAAGGGGTGTTTACGGGCGCGCGCTCGGTGTGTGGGGTGCGAGGGTAGATGGGGGTAAATGAGAGGTATAGGGAGAAAGATGATGCCTGGAATTATTAGAATAACTGAACAACGCATTGCCACGTATACTTGGAGAGCGCGTTATGAATAAACACCCGTTGCATTTGCTGCGAGGTGTAATGCATTATGCATTGCGAGTGTACAGCTCTCTGGACTGGGAAGCTTCCACCCAGAACGAGTCCCCCAATTTGCTGCCAAAGCAGCAGATATCTTCCCCTCCCCCCGCCCCGCCCGCTCAGACTTCCACTGGGCGCCGTACGGGAGGCGGCTGTTCCGGAAAAGAGGAGGAGCGCGGTGGTGGGGACCCTCTCCCGCCCGCGCCCCTCCAGTCTGCACCCCCGTGCCTCACACGGAGTTCTTAATTCCACAGCCGGGTTTCAGAAAGAAGACAAATCCTCTCTGCGCCCCGTGGCGCCGGTCTGCACCAGTCTGGGGCTCCCGGGTTTGGGGGGAAATCAAAGGCGCTAGACTGGAGAATATAGGGGGGCGGGGGTGGGACGGGGGGGTCACCCGAACAGCGGAACAGGACTTCTCAGGAGGGGGGGAAGGAGTGAGCTTGCGGACCGGGCTTGGGGAGTCAGCAGAGACCCTTATGAAGAAAACCGTTAACTCTTTCCTCCCCGGACAGACCGGACGTTTAATTCCTTTCCGGGTCCTCTTTCTTTCCCCTTTGCTATTGGAATCGTGACCATGCACCAAAAAATGCATCGATTCTGATCAAAGGTGAGAGGAGGAGTATTACGATCGTGCCTTTTTGGGGGGTCTTGAGGTAATTAAAAATTGGCTGCATTTCAGGCATTCCTTTCCTAGTGCAGTGACTCCAGATTTCTGAACATCATAGTGAAAGTGCGTTATGTGTAACACGAATACATGTATGCACACCGACCCAACTTGTTGCCCAAACCGACCGAACATGGTCCCTGAATCGATCTATATTTAGTAGATAACATATTTTCCCTCGGGATTTGCTACTTTACATTATTCCATGGCGTCGAAAACAAAGGCAATATTCTCATCCCTGGACTCCCACCAAAAGGAATTTTAAGTAAACTTTTCTCCCCCCTCCCCCCAAAAAATTCGGGGGGCAAGGGCGAGCGAATAGCATGTACGCTGGTCAAGTTAAGTTACTACCCCTTGAGTTCGCAGCCCAGCATTCAATTGTTAAACGAGTAGTAATTTCCCCCAAATCAGAGGCACTGCACAATTCAGCTTTAAGGGTTGCAAATGACTCCAGCCTCTAGGCATTTGGCCAAAAAGCAGAGGACGACCAATCCCTAGGCTCGGTTTTGCGGCGTAGCTTCTTTTCCCCGCCTCTTTTCTGGGCTAGACCCGCGTTAGGAGTTTGCGAAAGTAAAGTAAGTGTGCCCTCTACTGGCAGCAGAGGTCACCGCCGGCGGGCGCCAGCGAGGGCGGGGGTCGGGTGGGGGCAGGGTGTCCGCAGAGCAGGGTGTCCAGCCGGAGAGGGACGGGCAGCTCCTTAAGAACGAGTTTCCATGGGCCGGCCCGTGGCTCCCTCGGTAGAGAGCGGTGCTGATAACACCAAGGCCCCGGGTTCGTCATCTTTTTTTTTTTTTAAAAAAAAAAGAACGAGTTTCCATGGGCCGGCCCGTGGCTCCCTCGGTAGAGAGCGGTGCTGATAACACCAAGGCCCCGGGTTCGTCATCTTTTTTTTTTTTTAAAAAAAAAAGAACGAGTTTCCATGGGCCGGCCCGTGGCTCCCTCGGTAGAGAGCGGTGCTGATAACACCAAGGCCCCGGGTTCGTCATCTTTTTTTTTTTTTAAAAAAAAAAGAACGAGTTTCCATGGGCCGGCCCGTGGCTCCCTCGGTAGAGAGCGGTGCTGATAACACCAAGGCCCCGGGTTCGTCATCTTTTTTTTTTTTTAAAAAAAAAAGAACGAGTTTCCATGGGCCGGCCCGTGGCTCCCTCGGTAGAGAGCGGTGCTGATAACACCAAGGCCCCGGGTTCGTCATCTTTTTTTTTTTTTAAAAAAAAAAAAAGATGACGAACCCGGGGCCTTGGTGTTATCAGCACCGCTCTCTACCGAGTGAGCCACGGGCCGGCCCCCGGTCATCTTTTTTTTTTTTTAAAAAAAAAGAACGAGTTTCCAGCTACCTCTATCTATATTACTGGAGAAAAAAGTGGTTCAGAGACGGCTGTGCAACCGCATAAGAGGTGGTGCAAATTAACGCACCACCGCTTACTGACAACGAACATCACCCTATGGAGAACCGACGCCATCACGGGAAGTGTGAAATATTTCACAAGAACACAAAAAAATTCCAACAAGATCCTAAAGCAGCAACACAAGCTTTAGCACACATGTCTTAGAAATCCATAATCTAACCACCAAGTTTGAAAACAAGAACTGGATTTATTGGGGAAGGGGGGGGGGTGGCACAGTGAAAGGTGAGAGGTATTTGTTTTTGCTTATTATTATTTTTAATTTAAAAAATTGGGCTGTGAATAATAACCAAATGTTGTGATATTGAGGAGGGGCATTTGAGATCCTGTTGAAAAAAGTGTAAAGGGCTATTTTATAAAACAAGTTTTAATACCAAAACGGCTGTGCAATAAAGGTCAAAGTGAATGTGAAGGAAATTTACATAGCATGCGTCTCAGGGGTGTGAATAATTCAAGTAGGTTTTTATTGCGGGAAGGGCGCTTGAGGTGTCGATCACCTAGAGGTGCCCTCACGAAGTTTGGCAGTGGAGGGGCCTTCCTAAAAGTGCCTGTTAGGGCGATTTCCCAGGAATTTGGCACTTTTGGCTAAGTGCTCTCTGCCTTGGCAACCCCCCACCTCCAAAGAAAACCCCCAAGCCAACACCAAACAAGCAACACAATGACAGCAAAAACAAGAGCAGGTCTAGCTTGACCTCAGAGGGTAGTTCTTGAAAAGTTGCTACAGATGGCAGACATACCATATCTTTGGGTCTTTCTCCCAAAGTATGCCCCCCCCCATACCATACCTTAGGGTCTGACTCCAAATTATCTGCCCCCACCCCCACCCCCCAGTGCAGGGTGTGTGAATCCCTGGCAGATATACCGCCTGTGGCTTCAGGACTCAACCTCACTTTCCTCCAGGCTGGTGACATCATCTGGAATGTTCCTTTCAAGTAACAGCTTGGAGGCGTTCTGTGCCTTCACACCAGGTAGGGGCCTTCCCTGTTTTGTGCATGAGGAAACAGAAAGTCAGATCTCAGCGAGGTTAAAAGACATAACTGTCTTGCTTTTAGTCACACTTGACATTTTCTGGGTGGAGAAATGACTGAGGAGATTAAACAAATAATATCATTTGAGATTACCAAAGAGACGCATGTTCATGGTAAAAATAAATTTTTAAAATAGAAAGAGGAATAAGAAAATTAAAGGTTTCTAATCCTGACCACCTAGAGGTAGTTGTTGGAGTTCATCATTTAAGGGGACCTTTTTACAGAAACCCCCCGTGGTCTTTCAACTCCACATTTTCTTTTGGAAGACTGCGGAAGGTGGCTTCTGACTGACCATGCCTGCTTTGTTGCTCTGGGGGCACTGGACCCTGTAGCTCTTTCTCTGTTTGGGGGGTGCTGCTGGGAGTGGATTGGGCTTCTAAGAAGAGGCCGATCTCCTGAAGGGGAGATTTGTCGTCCTCCACATGGTTGGGATTCTGGATAAACAGCCCATTGCCTTTGGAAGAGAATACTGTGTCTCTGGAGAAAACATTCTTTCCTACAGAATGGTACGGACAAGAATCATTAATTCTCACAACCACATATTCTCACAATAGTAGTCACGCCACTTTTCTACTTACGAAAACATTTTAAAAAGTTCAGAAAGAATGAGCAATTTGACCAAACTTTCTCCTTTCTTTCCAGGGACACAAAAGGGGAGATTCAGAATGTGTGATTTGTATAAAATAACACCAGTTTTCCCCTCTACCTTCTTTGAATATCTCTTCTCCCACCCCTTGAAAAGTTTCCTACTGAGTTGAACTTCTACAGATAAGAGCAGTTACTAATATGGAAAGAAACTGGACCCGGGTGATCAAAAAGCTCATTCCAACTTTGGGGTGAGACAGAAAGCGCCTCAGGATGGCTGGGCTGTTATTTCAAAATCCCTTCAAGTCATGTGAGCCCTGTCAACAGTGAGGTGAGGGAAGAGAATGATAAATGCTTATCTCCAGCAGAGAGATTATTTTGAAAACAGGACCTTTAGATTAAAACCCAAACTAGCAAGGAAATGCTAAAGAAAGAGAAGGTCTCACAAGCATTTTTTTTTTTTTTTTTTTTTTTTTTTAAAA